AACGAAAAGGATTAAAATTAAAGTGACATACAAATACTTGGCGTGCCCGATCTGAAATAAAAATTTCCAAAAGATTATCAGAAATCATTATCAATATATTAATAAAAATGTATGACTTATGGTGCGATCCGGGCACGCCAAGTTTTTGTATGTCATTTTAATCTTAACCTTTTTCGTTCCGGGCCTCTAGTAAAGCTTATGATTAATTTCAAAACAAGTCGATCAATTTGGCACGGGGCATTTTTAAATTCGAAATTGATGATCGATGTGATCGATATTATTGCAGTAAGAGTTAAGTAATTTTATGATTTACTATTTGTAATAATATCCGCAATATAACAGTGCTATTTTATATATTATACAAAATATTTATTTGGAACATAATAGTGTAATTTTTTAATAAAAATAAGATGCATTTTAATTTTCTCAAGAGAATCTATAATATTTTTAATAAAATGCAAGATTGATTTTATGACAAATACTATTTCAAATTACAAATCCTCACAAACCGAATGAATTATTTTTAAATACTTGACCGTTATTATTGATTTTATATTTATTTTTTACTTTTTATTCTTTAGAGGAAAATTTTTTTATAAGCTATTTTTTTTAGAGGTAAATATTTTTAAAAATTTTTTGTTGCATACAAGTTAGGATATTTTTTATGTACTTGGCGTGTTCTTTTAACCTTTGTGAGTAAAGTCGTTTCGCGTTCGAAGCACAAAGTGATATGGGATGGACTTCGCTTTGCGCAGAAAGTTGCAAACCTATGTGAAATCATATAATTATAAACCTTTTTCGTTAAATATCTTAAAAACTATACGAGACTGCCAAATAAAACAAAGTGAATATTAATCAGCAATCTTACCCTTATAACATATGTGAAGGTCAAAATCATCGGCGAGGTATCCGCTAATGCAAATAATTATCTTATAATTTTACTAAATATAAAAAGGCTAAAATCTTATATTTTTTTACAGATGGAACCAACCTAATATTACAGACAAATTAATACAAGGATACACAGTGCAGTGTTGGTTCATCGAGAACCAAAAAGAGATTCAAATTTGCAACAACGAAAGTATCTCAGCTGCGATATTGGAACGCACAGTGCACAATTTAAAACCTAACACGACATACTATTTTCAAGTACAAGCACATACTAAAGTTGGTGCTGGCCCTTACACAAATTTAATTAATGTTTCGACTACGCACGAAAATCCAATACCGCGATTATTGACCATATCGAACAATGGTATCGATATATGGGATTTGGATTCAAAAATCAACGTTAATCTCGTTGTGGATAATGACATACAAAGTGTCGCTTATTGGATAGTGGAACATAAAATTTTTTGGAGCAACCAAAAGAGAGAAATAATGATGTTGAAAATGAATGAAAACAATTACACAATGAAAAATATTACAAAAATAACTGAGCTTCAATATGTTGCGCGCGATCTCTGCATCGACTGGATAGCGAGAAATCTGTACTGGATGGAATCCGACTATATATCTGGTTTTCGTGACATTGTGAAGCTCGACTTAACAATGTGGGAAAATGGCATAATCAAATATGATAAAATATCAAAAATAAAAACCTATCTTGACATTGATCGTTTAACTATATTACCGTCTATAGGGTATATTAACTTTCATCCATTTGAAATAAATGAACAATATTTTCATTAAAAATTTGTACTGATTTGTAATTTTTCAATAATTTCACATGGCTTTTTAATTAAGATCAAAAGTTATAAAAAAATAATAAAATAACACAAATTTAATTATAAGAATTTTAACATTCACTATATATAAAAGTTTTTTTACTACGGTTATAATAATGTTCTATAATAAATAAAATAATGCATATATTTTTTAGAACTTTATATTGGACAAATTACTCTACGGATAATAAATGTCAGATAATACAATCGGATCTTGATGGAAAAAACGCTCGAACCTTTCAGAACAACAGCTTTATTATGTCCTTATTACGATTCCCACTCTATACGTCAAATTATTTAGTTGATATGAAAATTGACGACATGAATACTAAGGAGCCGCTAGTTTATTGGCTATGGCATGATTTTTTGTTTGTGACAGACATTAACGTTTTTATATACAATTTGATTTTGCATGTCGATAATTTTACCAAAAATGACTATCAAATAAGGTTTCAATCTTTAACAATTGACAAGACAAACATTTACATTTCTACAGCTTTAAATAAAAATATATATGTTTTGAAAAAAGAGTATGCACTTCTCACGAGCGAAGACGCATTCAAAAACATCGAAAAAAAAACAGCGTCTTCCTGGATTAATTACTTGTATGCTTTCGGTAAATCTTTGCAACCTCCGAGGAGAAATCTAACGTCTGACAAAATAGTTGATAATGTAAAAATATTAAAGCAAATATTAGTTAAGGAATATTATCTATCATTCCACTTAAGCAGTGTCGCTATAGTTACTATAATCTGGATCTACTACTTTTACTATTGTAAGTATATTCGATACACATTTAGGTCTTTAATTGCAGAAAAGAATATATCTAATGTAGTATACAGAGATTTTCTAAGAACAGTTAATTTACTTTAATTTTTGTTGATGTAAATTTTGCAATGTATATTATTAGATAAATATATTGTAATTTTATAACAGTGTATCAACGCAAAAAAAGTAACGAGCAGGTTTTGCCTCCGATAATGACTGACATCGAATTAGCGATTCTACGTGAATTCCCTATCAATAATATTCAATGCAATATGTTATACAAACCTATGTTGCAATATAATTCGGATGTACTGATCAAAATCAAACGTGAGCCGATC